TCTCAAGAATTTGTTTTGCAGTACTTGAAGTTTTTGAAGATGGGTTTTTGCCATGCTTCCAAACGCTGGACAACCATATGTGAATATTGGTCTGATGGCTAGCTTGTAGATGTGAAGTTTGTTTCGTACGTCGAGTTGTGAGTTCCTGCTGATGAGCGGATAAAGCTGTCTTAATGCGGTGTGAGCCCTATTGGTCACATACTCCACATGCGGCTTTAATGTCACTCTCTTGTCGATCACCATTCCCAGATATTTAGCTTCTGTTTCCCATTTGATGTTTTCGTTGAGAAATTTGATGTTATTTCCTGGTAGTTGCCTGGAGTGCCTGTTTGTGATGAATAAGGCTTGAGTCTTCTGTTTGTTGAGGTTGATCTTCCATTTGTTCATGTATTGTTGAACTTTTCTTCCCGTGTGCTGTAGATGTGTCACAATATCGGCCGAGTTCTCTGCAGAATGATACAGTGCTGTATCATCTGCGAAAAGACCGATGTTGTTGGTTGTCTCTCTTACAACATCATACGTGAAGATGTTGTAGAGAGTTGGTGAAAGCACTGCTCCTTGTGGCACTCCGAATTTGATTACCTTGATTTCTGAGAACTGACCTTTAATAAAAACTGCGAAAGATCTTTCACTGAGGAAAGATCTTACAGTTTTTATAAGTGGCAGTGGAAATCTCAGTTTGAGCATTTTGTACAAGAGTCCGTTATGCCAGACTCTGTCAAATGCTTTTTCTACATCCAGGAAGATCATGCCTGTTGACTTTTTGTTGTTTAAGTTTTCTTTTGCTGATTTGATCACTTTGATGAGCTGGTGAGATGTTGATCTTCCAGTCCGGAAGCCGCACTGCTGGTTTGGGATGATGTTGTTATCCTCAAGATGATCGTTGATTCTATTCAGTAATACTCTCTCCAGTATTTTGCTTATTGAGCTGAGTAGACTTATTGGCCTGTAGCTGCTTAGCTCATTTGCTTGTTTTCCAGGTTTTGGAATAGGAATCACTTTTGCATGTTTCCAAACTTTGGGGAAGTGGTTGAGTTTCAGACACGAATTGATGATGAATTTCAAGTATTCGAAACCTTTTTCAGGAAGATTTTTGATGAGTATGTTGTTGACTTCATCTAGTCCCGGAGCTTTTGGATTTTTCAGATTTCTTATGATGCTCACGATTTCGTTTACATCTGTTAGTTCTGGATTCTCATCATTGTCTTGTTCCAATGCTTCTTTGACTGTGTTGTTTACTTCCTGTGTATGTTGTGGATCGTTTTGTTCCAGAGGATTTTCGTGAGCTTCACGGAAATACTCGCTGAGTGCGCTGGCTTTTTCTTTGTTGGTGATGAACGTTTTACCCAGATTTGTCAATGGAGGCATTGTTTTTGAACCTTTTTTGCAAAATTTTGCTATTCTCCAAACTGTTTGGTTTGACGGTTGAATCTCTGAGAGACGCTTATTCCAGTTTTTGTTTTTGAGTTCTTTAATTTTCTCATTGATGACTCTCTGCAGATAATTCAATTCAGGTTTGAGTTGATTATCTCTGCTTCTCTGCCATCTTCGACGAAGACTCCTTTTTGTGTTGATTAGATCTTTAATCTCCGGTGTGAGATTAGTTGATTCGAACTTGATCTTTTTCATTTTTACACTTGAGTTCCTCGCTTCCATGATGAGTTCAGAGAGAATCTTAATGTGATTCTCGATCTCATCTGTTGTATTGCAAGAATTTTCTAAAATGTTGTCTTCAATGCGGCGTGAAATTTGTGCTTTGAACTTTTTCCAGTTTGCGTTTTTGTAGTCATATCTGTAGACTGTATTTTCAGTTCTGTCGATTTTTGATGTTTTGATTTGGAAATACACAGCGCAGTGATCACTCATTGCCTCTGTGCATTGAAGTTCTGTTGTTTCGAGGTTGGAATTCGAGAGCATCAGGTCAATTGTTGACACTGATTTGTTTCGATCTTCTGGGTAGTACGTTGGCGAGTCAGGAAAGTAGATCATGAACTCTCCTGACATTTCCTGAAGAATATTTCCTGATTTATTTGCAACGTTGCAGTTCCATTCTCGATGTTTTGCATTGAAGTCTCCACAGATGTAGTAATTTCCTCTCAGATTTGTTATTTTGTTGATGTCATCTCTCAGATGTAGATCTATTTCCCCTCCTTTGCTTCCTCCTGGGAGATAGACTGAGAGGATGTGACAACTATCCGTGTCATTGATGAAGACTTTGATTCCAATGCATTCCATTAGTTTTGTGTTGTAGCTTGGTTGAAGCTGATGTTTTAGATTTCTTTTGACGATGATTGCAACACCACCCTTTGGTCTATCCACGCGATCCAATCGATGAATTACGTAGTCTGGATGAGAGTCAATTTTTGAGTTTGGTTTTAGGAATGTTTCTGAGATGCAAGCAACATCGACGTTTTGCTTGCTTAGGTAGTCGAGAAATGCTAACATTTTGTCAGTGAGGCCGTTAGCATTCCAGTAGAGGACGTTGATACTTTGTTGTCTACAATCCATTATTGTATGCGGTGTTTTTGGCACTTGAGCCGATTGCTTGGAGTATTTCGTCGATGAACTCTGGATTTTTGGCGATTAATTTGAGAAGCTCGCTGATAAGGTACTTGCACTTTGATTCCTCTATTTCTGAGATGTTTTTATCTCTTGTGCTGGTGCTTTGAGCTTGTTGATTAGTTGTTATGTTTCGATTCACTACCTCAACACTGAATGAAGGTTCTGGGAAGACTTCATTCGAGGTCTGACTTGTTGCACTGATGTCTTCTGAGTCCATAAGCTCAACATCTTGCTTTGGTTTTTGATGTTGATTGTTATTAATGCGCTCGTTTTGCTTTTTTCTTTGATTCTTTTTCCAATGTTTTCCTCTTTCTTTATTGTTTTGTTGGTTGTTCAAGTTATTTTTATTTCCCTGATTTGAGGGTTTGTGATTTGGAGGAGGATTTGTGTTCCTTGGTTTGTGGTTGACTGGAACTTGTTTTTGATGAACAGGCTTTTGTGTACCAGATGTTGATGGTTCCATATACTCATTTCTCCATTGAGGTTTTGGTGCATGTTGGACGTTTCTGGTTGATCTCTCAGGACGATGCGGTGTTGGAGGATTGTTTCTCCGTTGTCCATATGAATAATGGCCTGCTGTTTTGTTTTGATTTTGGTTGTTTCCATTCTGTGATTTTGATTTCCATTTTTCAATTATTTCTTGTCTGGTTTTACAACCTGTGAAAATTGCTGTATGTTTTTCACCGCAGAAGAAACATTTGAGTTTTCCGAGTGGAACCTTGTTGGTCTCTTTCGATATGTACTGGCACGTTTTCGAGTCATGTTGCTCAGAGCATCTGAAGCAAACGGACGGTTTGTTACAACCGTTTTGTCCATGACCAAACTGCAGACATTTCGAACATTGAGATGGTCCAGCTTGTCTATTTTTGTAGTCAGCCCATTTAATTTTGAAACTGCTGACAATTTTGATTTTTCTGAGGAATTCCAGGAAATTTCCACCTTGTTCTACATCTTTTTTGAAGTACACGAGGTAGTTCTGGTCGTCGTCTTGTTCGTGTCTTTTGTGTTTCATTGTCATTTTGACAATTTTTACTGGTGTGATTTTTACGGTTTGAAGTTCCTTCTCCAACTCACTGATTTCCATATCTGGGAGTCCATAGAGTACGTACTTCTTCAGTGGTTCTTGGCTGGAGTATGTGTGGAAGTGATGCTTTTTGTCTTTGAGTAGTTGGATGAATTTCTCGTAGTAATCCCAACTCTCCGTTGTTACCGTTTTTGTTCCTTGTTTGCCCTTTTTGGTCTCAATTAAGAAACTTCCAGGTTGATTGTTTATTTCATTCGTCAATCTCTTGATTTCACCAGCTCCTCCTGTGCTGATGACAATTGGAGGTGGTTTTGATTTTTGTTGAGATTTGTTGTTGTTGCTTTCCGTGTTTACGGAAATTGTCTTTTGTTGCTCTGATGTTTTGCTGTTTTCTCCCCAGTACGAAGAAGTTGTCGATCTTTTTTTCTCCTGTTCTGGTGAACCAAATAGATACGGTACTCCAGAAGACGAAGCTTTCTTCATTAGTGGGAGTACGAACAGTGGTTTGTTCCCATCTTTTGGTTTGCTTTCGTTTGCTACTCTTTTTAAAAGAGCGTTGGGAACTATCACTTCTCGAGGGCGTTTTTCTGCTTTACTTGCTTCATTGAGAAACTTCTTTATTGATATTTGTTTTTTTGGTTTGAGATTTGTCATCTCAATGTCGGCTGCTTGTGAAACATCTTCACTGAAAATTTCCTCAATATTGAGAATTGTCACTGAAGATGAATGTTGTTGTTGAGAACTATTAAGTCCATGCTGATTTTGAGAAAGATTTTCTTCGTTGTTGGTAGTTTTTGGTGATGCTACCATTTTGATGTTTTGAGAATCAAACTGAGATTTTGAAACTTTTTGCAAACAAAAAGCTTCTCAGGTAGTCTCTGTTTTGTTTCTTTTGAGATTTTTGAATAATTTGCGGAGCGATTTGTAAACACGTCTGTTCACGTTGAGATCTAGTTTGCAACTGTGTGCTTAAAACAAATACAAATAAAACATCTTAAATTTTTTTGAGCAAAGAACCAAGTAGGAAATACATTTTCAATTATGAACTTGGGACAGGTCTTGTCAAAATCTAGTTTTTCACTTTTTTTCTTCGAAGGTTTATCTCAATTTTTGATTGAAATGGGTGTCAAATGGCTTTTTTCTATCAAAAAAATCAAAAATTTAGTTAAGCCGAAAAAATCGGCTTCGATCTCTGATTTTAAGCTATCTTGCTCCATATCCTCACAAAATTCAATAAACTGATTTTTCAATCTGAACAAAACCAATAGATTCACACGTGAAAACGGTGTGAATATAAAAATGATAATTTCTTGCTTATTCTACGCGATTATGGATTGTAGTAGAGAGAAAAAAAATCCTTCTTTATTTATAAAGGATAATTAAATTTGTATAATAATAAAATATATCTATTTATCCGGAATATTAGTTCAAGTTTCTTAATTATTTGAAGCGTTTGTTCGATTTGTAATGTAAATTTCTTGAATGATATAAATTCATCTTCTGTATGAGATCCATCGAATTAACTCGGTACTTTCCATCCATGATCATTTTATGACGTGACCTGTCTAGTAAAGCTGTGTTTTTTGCATAATTCGTAAGAACTCTTCTTTCTAAAAGTAATTAAAATTTTAAATTGTGATGTAGTCAAAAATAGACATAACATACGTTAACTTCTCCATCTCCATCTCTATCAGCTTCATCAATCATTTCTTGTAATTCCTCATCCGTTAAATTCTCACCAAGTTCCTTTGCAACTCGTTTAAGATTCTTAAACGATATAGTTCCTGTTTCGTCGTCATCAAATAATCGGAATGCTTTAAGAATTTCTTCTTTTGTATCCTTCTCAGCCATTTTTACTGTCATAAGTGAGAGGAAGTCTGCATATGATAATTTTCCAGTGCCGTCCTTATCAATATCCGCAATCATTTTCTTAATCTCCTCTTTCTTTGGCTCAAAGCCTAAAGCTCTTATTGCTACTTTCAGTTCCTTCACATCAATAAATCCAGAAGATCCTGTATCAAATAAATCGAATGCTTCTTTAATGTCATTCTTTTGTTCGTCTGTAAGCTCAAATTTAGGACCGGACTTTTTACGTGATGCTGTCGTCGTTGTTGCTGTTGTTTTTTTATTCGACGAAGATTCAGCCTTGAAATTTTCATGAAAATGTGAAAAACATATTGAAGTGATTTCTAGATCTAATTATTATTTGATGAATGAAAAACTCACCATTTTTTATTGAATTCAAGTTAATTCAGATGCTTTCCTTTTTTTTTATTTGTTAATTTCCTAGAAACGAAAATAAAATATATATTGTTTAATGTTTCTTAACTACTGCCAGGGTTGTTATGTGATAATTTATATTTATTTTCGACGTTATTTTTGGCTAGTTTCCCAACATTTAAAGGTTTGCAGCAGTTAATTCGTAGACGCCTATAAAAGAACTAATATCTCAAGATTAGGAATAAAAAATCTGTTACAGCAACTCTGAAATTGGGCAATTAATTCCCGCAAAAAATCTTTAAAAAAATTTCAACCGTTGTAAAATTGCTCAGTTACTTTAGGAACTGACGCATGGCATTTTCGTACAACAACATTTATGTCTCAACATTTCCCTTGTATATTTTTATTTTAAATGTTTGTCGTAATAGATTTTCCATTGCCAGCTGAGCGAGAAGAAATAGAAAAATTAAAATAATATAAGGGTTGGATATCGATCGCTGCTGCATTGGACGGACGGAAAATACGAAAGGAAAAAACGAGAATTAAAATCTTTTGGTGCCGCAAATCGAGAGAAATATAGCTTTTTTACATTTTTTCTCTTAACTTATATTAGTTTAAGTTATCTAAACTAAGTGATAAGCAAGGAAGTGAGTTGTTTATCAATGTAATTGTAAAGATAAATAAGTACTTAAATTTCAGTGCGTCACACTGAAAATTTTTTCCCGATATAAAATTGAGAATTTTGCAATGTTCTATTTAGAGATAATTGCACTAATCCTCATCATCATCTTACTCTACGAGACTTCAAATTCATTGAAGTACTATCTCAAATTTGGTATTTATTACGGCGGTGTCATCTTAAATAGCTTTCTACTTTTCCCATACTTCCTTACGCGACCTAATAACGTTTTAAATTTATTGTAAGTTCCACTCGCAATCATGGATCGTGTTTACATTTTCATTATGTTTTAATCGATTTTTTTAGAACTGCTAGCAAATTTTGTTGTCATATATCTAAGTTAATTGGCCTTACATGGATTCTACGAGGTGGCGAACATCTACAAAAGGATCAAGCATGTGTTATTGTAAGCCAATTGTAATTATTATATTTTGTCTTTTTCATTTGTAACTAAATGTGTGCCATATTCTATATTTATGCTACTAATACATACATAGATATGCAATCATCAAAGTTCTTTAGACATACTGGGAATGTTTGGTAATTTTCATATACTCAATGATTGTTTAAATAACACATGTGCTTACATTCCAAAAAATATTTGTAAAAATTTCAGACATTTGGCCTGTGATGAATAAGATGACAGTGGTGGCTAAACGTGAATTGCTTTATGTTTTTCCTTTCGGCTTTTGTGCGTACTTGTGTGGACTTGTGTTCATAGATAGATATGCAGTCGATAAAGCAAAGAATACGCTAAATACTGCTATGGAGGTTTTGAAAATAAATAACATCAAGTTGTGGGTGTTTCCTGAAGGTGAATGACTCTTTTCCTAATATTCTATTTTTTTTTTGTACGAGTAAAAGTTAAGATGTATTACTCTTATGAAATGATTTATCATATTCACACAAAATTTTCAATTTTTGTGAATATATTGTTTTTGGTTTTTCGGAAAATCAGTTTTTTTTAACTTTCTGCTTCAGGCTTACGGAATCACCCCAAATACCCAAATAACTCGATTCAAACTCAATATTAAGACTTCCGGTTTTTTGCTTCTGATAGATAATGGCTATCGCATGAACTGTATTGTTTCTGGAGTCATAAGATGCTTCCAGTGAGGCACAAGATGCATTAACATTTTTGTATGGAAAAAGTTTAACCGATTATTACATAACATATTTTTTTTTTGTTTACAACGGAAATATTTGTTGGTAGTAGTTTGATATTAATAAAATGGTTGTGACAGTATGCACTAAGTTAAATGTATGTGAAAAAATGTTGGAACTAGCGAGTTCCTTCACAAGATTCAGCTTACTGGATCTATGTTATTGAATACATACTTTACTTGTATCATAATGGAAATATGTTTTTGGTTCCAGCATTGATTCTTGCTATATACTTACTGGGTCTTGGTTCCAACGATAGCACAATTTCAATTTTAGTGAACTGGATTTAATTTTAAATGACAAATTAAATTATTTAACCAATTTTTCACAATGATCTTTCACAATCAACAAATTTTCAAAGTTCACTAGGAATTTTTTCTTATTTCTTAATTATAAAATTCAAATTGAAATTGTCAAAGCCCACTTAGAACTTATTCTCAAATTTTACTAGATCTTGGTTTCAAGTTTCAGACATGATTAAAACTTTACTGGATCTTAGTAATTTGGTGCAGACATGATTGAAACTTTACTGGATCTTGGTTTTAAGTTTCAGACATGATTGAAACTTTACTGGATCTTGGTTTTAAGTTTCAGACATGATTGAAACTTAACTGGATCTAGGTTTTAAGTTTCAGACATGCTTAAAACTTTATTGGATCATTGTAATTTGTTGCAGACATGATTAAAACTTTACTCAATCTTGGTTTGAGTTTCAGCCATGATTAAAACTTTACTGGATCTTGGCTCCAAGTTTCAAAAATAATCAAAATGATAATTTGTTGCAGACATGATTAAAACTTTACTGAATTATAGTAATTTGTTGCAGACATGATTAAAACTTAACTGGATCTTGGTTTATTGCTTCATACATGATTATACCTTTACTGGATCTTGTTTTCAAGTTTCAGCCATGATTAAAACTTTACTGGATCTTGGCACCAAGTTTCAAAAATAATCAAAATGATAATCTGTTAAAGATTTGATTAAAACTTTACTGGATCTTGACTCCAAGTTTCAAAAATAGAAAAAATTTTATAAGATCTCGGTTCCAAGTTTCAGCCATGATTAAAACTTTACTGGATCTTGACTCCAAGTTTCAAAAATAGAAAAAATTTTATAAGATCTCGGTTCCAAGTTTCAGACATAGTTAAAATTTTACGTACTCTTGGTTTTGAGTTCTAGACATGGTTAATTTTGGATTCTTGGTCGATACATTTAAAAATCCAGTACGATCTGTAATCTATAAACAGTTGAACGTGACGAAGTGCACGCAAGGCGTGAAAATTTTACCCGTTTTAAAAATCCTCATAATATTTATGAGTAAAAAAATCTCAGATTTCAATAGCACACAAGTTGCAAAACTATCCAAGACTGTAAACTATGTTGAAGTCTGATCTACATAAGAGACTGACTGTGAAGCAGCAACTGGAGCAAAGCGGAAGTTGCAAAATTATCCAAGACTGTAAGCTATATTGAAACCGGATTTACATAAAAAACTATCTGAGAGCATTAATTTGAGTGTTACTTATGTCTACATAAGTCGTTTTTTTCATATTTATAATTTTAAAAATTGTTATTTTTTTGCGACACTAGAATCATGATTTTCGTTGTAAAACGTGTTTTTAATACGTGGTATACTTTGTTGATAATACAGCAAAATGTTGATATTAAGTCTTACATTTTATTGAGAGAAGGTTTTTCAAGATTTTCTGAGCAATACATAGAGAGTTCAATAGGATTGTGTGAATATTCCCATGAAGCGTGATCGGCTTCATTACTAGTTTTTTTCATCTTTTTAGGAACAAGACGGAATGAGGGAATAATTCATGACTTCAAAAAAGGAGCATTCAATGTAGCTATACAAGCTCAAGTTCCAATAGTTCCAGTCGTCGTGTCATCTTACAAACATTTTCTTAATGAGAAACAGAAAATATTTAATTCAAGTGAAATTATAATCGAAGCTTTACCTGAAATATCAACCAAAGGCTTATCACACAAAGATATTAATAACTTAATGCAAAAATGTAGGCAACTAATGATTGAAAAATATAATGAATTAACAAATGAGATTAAGACAACTAATCCTCATACTCTATTGAACGTGTATAACAACTTAAAACGGAATACAATGTCATTAACGCACTAGTCATTTTTTAAATATGATTTTAATAGAAACAAAAGGAGAACGATATTGAAGCATAGCAAAACAGTGGATATCAATTAGATAGATATCGCAAAAATGAATTGTATTTGATGAACAGGATTATGGACTTTAATATTAAATCATGATCACTTAAAAAATATTCTATTTAGATAAGGAGGAATAAGAGTAAAAAGCATTAGAATATATGGTGTGATCAAAAAGTTGGTTTTGAACGGAGTAGGTACACTTTTTTGGATTAAGAAACCTTAGCAAAATGATGAAATTGTTGCTGTTTGTCTCCCATATTCCTCCGTCCTGCATTTGCTCCTGATTCTCAATGATTGTTAAAAAAAATTTAATTCCATGTGTTAAACAAAAACGATTTGAGTTATAAAAAAATATTAATCTGCAGCTTAAAATCTTTACCTTTAAAAAGTAAAGAAATTGATTTAGGGTAAACGCTTTTGAAAATTGCACACTTTTGAAACTTGCACACTGATATGAAAATAAAAAATAAAAATTTCTCATAAAATATCCACTTCTGATAATACTTTCACAAAATCTTTGTATAATTATTGTACAAATGTTGTTGTACCTTTTCGAATTGTCTGAAGGCACCAGAAAGATGAATTCCTTCAGCGATCAATTTTTCATACAAAACAAATTTTTGCAAAATATAAGGTTTTGAGATACAATCAGTGGCTTTATCAAATATTTTGATATCAAAAAATGTAAAAGTAAAAAAAAAATGTAAAAGTGTTAAAATGTTCTTAAGTTGTTTAAAATTTTGGAAGTATTTCTTTTGTGAAAAAATAAGCGGAACTGCCCAAAAAATCACTTTTAAAAAAGCTTGTTTTTCACTTTTGAAATTTGCACAAAAATTTGTCGAAACTTTTGAAATTTGCACAGTTTTAAGCGTAGGAGGTATTGAAAAATTCGATGTAAACATTAATTTTCGGATTCAAAACATTAATGTTTTATGCCTGAAATGAAGATATCGCTATGATAATGGGACTGTAGGAAAATTAAGAAAAATATTCAAGAATCATCGGCGATTAAAAATTTACCGAAAAAAGAATCAAATTTTAAAAGTAGCAAGTGTTAAATTGTTTCTTAAGGATATATCCATGATTAAGGAAATAAATGGCATTAAAATAAAATAATAATTTGCGAATTTATAAATAGAATTAGTCTTTAGCCGTTCACTTATTACGATACGCAAAAAAACGACTTTTTTCACACCCCTCCCCCCTTGTTGCAATATGTTACAACTCACACCCCCCCCCCCTCTCCCCTCTAAAGTGCGAACGTAATAAGTGAATGGCCCCTTAATTAATGATGAATGATAGGAATAAAATCAGCTTAAATATGAGATATCCATTTCAAGGACTTGATTCTATAGTTTTACATATAATGGATCCTGTTTGATTTCATGTGCCTGATTTTTGAATTTTTTTCTTCAATTTTCCTATTCATTTTCAACGACGATGCATCTGAAGATGTTAGAAAAAGAAATCAGTAATACTGTTATTAGATTTGAAAAGTACCAGATGAAAATATTATTTCTTCTCCCAAAAAAATAAAAAAAAATAATTGTTTACATCATTTAAATACAAAAATGTCATGGATTGCTATCAAAAAAGTGTGCAAATTTCAAAACTTTTTTGTGCAAATATTTAAAATTTCCATGCAAATTTCAAAAGTCAAAAATAAAACGCTTATATCTCTGCTGATATCCATCGTAGCTTTCAGAAAGAAGTTGCAAATTAAATTTCCACAATTTTCAACAGCTCAAAAGTTTTTTTAAGCCTTAACAATAATCTGTTGAAAAGTTCCAAGCAAATGAAATTTTCATGTGCAAAGTTGTGCAAATTTCAAAAGTATTTGCCCTAATAATTTTATGCATCTAAAGAGAAGAAAAATGAAAATTTTGATCAAATTTGTGTCAATAACTGGCAAGTAAAAAATGTGATATGCACGTAGCATGTTACTTGATAAGACATTGATGACCTTGATCAAAATGTCGTAATTTTCAGCACTCAAATAGCTTAGAACTTTCATTAATGTTTTAATGAAAAAGTCACAACGTGTGCTTTCTCGAAATCCCGAGAGTGAAAATTTTCGGGATTTCTCGGGAATCCTAAATTCATGTATGAAAGGTGTAATAATGTGTAATATTTAATAAGTCAACTAAAATTGTCCTTGTTTGAACAAGTTACACTTTTCAAAATGCATTTTTTGAGAAATATTTGCTTGAATTTGCAAGAATTGTTTTTAAAGATTTTAAAAAATATTGTAAAGTTCAATAAAATTTTTCATAAAGTCAAAAACAATAGCAAGATTTCCCGGATAGCTAGAAAGCATATTGGACAGATCAAAATCGTTCTTAATGAAGCTTTACTTTGAGTACCAAATCCGAAAAAGAACAAGAATAAAACCAAAGAATCATTCTCGAATTGATAAAAAAAATCACAAATGGTCATCCGAAGATCTAAATTAGAATTTTCAAGAATCCTAAACATTGAATTTCCGAAAAATATGTATCAATAAATATGATTAGAAAAAAAACCCTTTGATCAATCTGTTTAAAGCTCTATTTAATTTATATGAATAAAAAAAAATAAATAAAGAATAAAAAAAATGCGAAAGTATTGTTTTGGATGGACGTTGATACAAAGCTTACAACGACAAAACAAAAGTAACATCAGCTATTTGCTGTTAGATTGTAGATAAAATAAAAACTCTAATTGCAGCCAGTCTTTGTCAACTCGTCCACTTAATAAGTCGTGTAAAATTTTAGTCACGAAAAAATATTAAATAGTTTAAGAAACATGGAAATACAAGGCCTTGAATTCACAGTGTTGTCATTTAGCATGATGGTTCTCTTAGTGCTCTTTAAGTGCAGTAATACAGTGAAATATTACACGAAATTTTTCATTTATACTGCCAGTGTCATGATCATTGCACTTCTATTTATTCCTTACTTCTGTTTCCGCCCTAAAAATGTAGAAAATTTATTGTAAGTTGCTTGTTTTATTTTTAAGTAATTTAGGCAATATCTAAGATTTATGCCAAGAAATTGTGAAATTAAAATCGATGATGCTTTTTGAGGTCGATAAATTGTTCGATTTTAATGCTTTTTCTCATGTGCAAATGAAACAAAAGAAAATGCAAATTAAATTTATTAATCTCTTTAAGTGGCTACAAGTATCTCAGTTTATGAATTCTACAAACATTCGCATTTGTTTAACTCAAAATTCTTCTCAAGGTTTTTTTTGACTATTTTTGAAAAATGTCACGATTTTTTTTTATTATTTGGTTTTTGTTTCCGATTTTTGTTAAAATATTATGGTATTTTTCATAAAATCATTTACCACCTCTCTTCTTAAGACATGATGAGAGAAATTTTTCAAATAATACGCACCTTCATGAAACTAATCTCTATTTCCCTAGTCAAATATGCTTAGTATTTGCCTAGTAAAAATATGTACTATTTCTATTTTTTGCACTGCCTTTAGCTAGGTTTTGCCTTTCTCTGTTCATACATTTTTATTATTATACAAATAATTGCTTGTAATGCTAGCCTGGATATATTATTAGCAGTTATCAGTACAAAACATCAAAAATGCATTTTTCATTACAGACGTTATGCTGAAGTGCTAAAGTATGTAACGTCATTGTTGGGAATTAAATGGATTTTGAGAGGCGAAGAGCATTTGAACAAAAATAAATCATTTGTTATTGTTGCTAATCACCAAAGCTGTCTCGATGTTATGGGTATTATAAGATATCGTCTGTTTCATTACTGATTCGATAAATTTTCCCACCTTTTATCTATTTTTAGGAATGTTCAGTAAGTTACCAAACAACTTACTCATTGAATGAGACGTGACGATAAGCGGTTTATAAACAAACAAAGTCACCTGAAAAAAAGCTGATAACTTAAAAGTCAAAGTCTAATTTATTTTCATTTTCTTCGTAGACATATGGAATGTCATCAAACTTATGACTGCAATCGCAAAGAAGGAATTGTTGTATGCAGGATCTTTTGGACCAGCTGCGTATTTAGCAGGAATAGTTTTTATTGATCGCAACAGTTCTAAAGGAAGAGAAGCCATGAATAAAGCCATGGAAAAACTGAAGGAAAATAGTGTCAAGTTATGGGTTTTTCCAGAAGGTAAAATTGTTTTATTTTGTTGCACTAAGTTGTTGAGATGTGCATGTATTTAGATGAATTGGAAAATTTCCACACCTCTTCAAAGCTAATTTTGATACCTTGCTTAAAATTATTTTTATCCAGGAACACGTCGCAACACTGGGGAAATTCATACATTCAAAAAAGGGGCTTTCCACACAGCAATACAATATCAGATTCCAATTGTTCCAATTGTTTATAGCTCATACAGACACTTTTTGGATGATAAACGGAAAATTTTTGGTGAAGGTGAAATTGTAATGAATGCGTTACCTGAAATATCGACGAAAGGTCTTACAGCTAAAGATATTGATGACCTTATGGAGCATACCAAACAACGAATGAATATTGTGTACAGAAAGATATCTGAAGAAGTTGCTGCAAATTTAAAAGAAAATTAAATTTGGGTTTTCTGTGATTTGTAAAATTACTTAACTTGATATTTTTTTAGAATGTGTCTTTTATATTATGTGACGTTACTGGAATTATTATTAATTTGTGATATTTTTAATGAGATGTGATAAAATATATGAAATGAATTTAAAAGGAAATAAATTGAACCACATGTATACATGTTTTTGGATTTCGAATATCAATAGGTACTTTAATTTTAAAAGTTATTTTAAATTTTATTCTGTAAAAAGTATTTAAGCTGAATAAATATTTAGTATTTGAGTTGATATACATCTACAATTGCTATAATGAGAATTTTAGTCAGTTTTTGATTCATCGTTAAATACGTCGGTTTATTGAAATTAAACAAATAATAATTTTCAGAAAATCTTTTGAACTAAAACAAAACGTGGTAAAATGGAGCTTAGCAATTTCAGACTTATTTTTTTGCCATTGTCATTGATTGTTATTTTAACTCTGTGTAAGTGCAGCAGGATAGCTAAATATTATGTCAAGTTAATTTTTTATAATAGTAGTATTGTATTATTGTCATGGTTCCTTATCCCTTTCTTCTTAATTCGTCCTGGAAATGAAGAAAATTTATTGTAAGACTAAATTTAAATCCTTTTGATTATTATTAAGACGGCCCTTTTTTGAATTTTATAGAACTTATGCAAATATTGCTAAACATTTTACAACTTTACTAGGCATCAAGTGGACTTTGAGAGGTGAAAATTATTTAGCTCAAAATAAATCATTTATCATTATTGCTAATCATCAGTCGTGTTTAGATGTTTTGGGTATAAATAGAGCTATTTATTGATTAAAATTAATTTTATAAATATCAAATTTTTTAAAATTTATTTTAGGATTATTCAGTAAGTGAACTGATGTTAAATCAACCATCACAATCACAAATTATGTATTTCTTATAGATATTTGGAGTATCATAGGACGTTTGACTGGGATTGCAAAGAAGGAACTATTGTTTTTCTTTCCTGGTTTGTATTTGGCAGGAACAATTTTTATTGATCGCCACAGCCCTAAAGGAAAAGAAGTAATAAATGAAGCAATGGACAGACTTAAAAAAGTGAATGCCAAACTATTGGTATTCCCAGAAGGTTCATACTCGATTTTAATATGAATACATGCCTTACTATTTTCAACAATGTAACTTTGTAGGAACACGCAGAAACACTGGCGAAATCCATCCATTCAAAAAAGGAGCATTCTACGCAGCAATTCATCATCAAGTTCCAATTGTTCCAGTAGTCATTAGTTCATACTTGCACTTTGTGGATCACGAAAAGAAAATGTTTGATGAAGGTGAAATGATCATTCGTGCGTTGCCCCAAATTTCAACGACTGGGGTTACAGCCAAAGAGATTAATGATTTCATGGAACGGATCAGGCAACAAATGATAAAAGTTTATGAAGAAACATCTGCAGAAGCTGCAAAAAATTAACTGTGATTTAAATAAAAATGCTTGTATCCATTATCTACTTATTACGGAGTACTTTCATTTCGTACTAATAAAAAATACTGTCAAGAAAAAGCCTTCATATCTGCTCCAGTTTTGTTTGATAATCCAAAATATCTTCTCTTAAAAAAAGCTGAATAAATACATTTACCATAATAATATTCTCTACGCATAGTTTTCTTCATAACGCCGATTAACTTTAGTCTATTAAAGTATTATTTTTTGATAAAATAATTATTAATTCATAGAAACAATAAAAATTGAAAAAAAAAATGGAATTCGATTTTGTTTTAAAAGATTTAGTTGTTCCAATTTCTTTAATGATTATTTTTGTACTTTACAAGTTTAGCAATACAGTGAAATATTTCATCAAATTGATAATTTTTAACGTTAGCTTTGTAGTACTACCATTTTTTTTAATTCCATACTTCTTAATACGTCCTAGAAATGTTAATAATTTATTGTAAGTTAAAACTTTAAGTTAATGTAAGACGTCATAATTGAATAAGTACTGAATAATTTTAAAAATCGTAGAACTATAGCTAATATAGCAAAGCACGTAACAAAAGTTCTGGGGATCAAGTGGATTTTAAGAGGCGAAGAACATTTGAGTAAAAATAAATCATTTATAATTGTTGCTAATCATCAAAGCTTTCTCGATGTCTTAGGTATTTTATGACATATTCTATAAATTAAAAAATTAAAATTTTGCTTTTTAGGCATAACATGTGAGTTCGAATGCAATGGAATTTCATCTAAATTATTACAACTTCTTTATCTTAGACATATGGAACGTTATCAAACTTTTAACTGCAGTTTCCAAAAAAGAGTCGATCTTTATTTTTCCCGCTATGTACCTAGCAGGATTAGTTTTCATTAACAGAAACAGTTTTCAAGGAAGAGATGAATTGAATAAAGCTATGAAAATGCTGAAGAAAGACAATGTTAAATTATTAATTTTCCCAGAAGGTACAAAATATTTCGTAGCTTGAAAATCAATTTTTTAATATCCTTTTCTATATTCCATAGGAACACGAAGAAATTCCAACAGAATTCATGAGTTTAAGAAAGGAGCATTCTACACAGCAATTCATAATCAAGTTCCAATTGTTCCATTGGTTTTTTGTTCCTACTTGCACTTTATGGATCATGAAAAAAAAATATTTGGTGAAGGTAAAATGATTATTAATGCTCTTCCAGAAATATCAACGACTGGAGTTAAAGTCAAAGATATTGATGATTTTATGGAAAGGATCAGGCAACAAATGATAAAAGTTTATGAAGAAACATCTGCAGAAGTTGCGGAAAGTTCAAATTTAAATTAAATCATTTTTATATTTTTCCCGAAAACAATGCAACAAGCTTCTTCACCGTAGTGATTTTCACCATAGTGATTTATTCAAATTTGTCTCGCACATTCAAACAGCGTTAGAAAAAAAAAATTAACGTTGACTGTCCAGCATTTTCATATCATATTTGAAATTGAAAAGACTGTCAAATTTTTCTGCTAAAGTAAAATGGAATTAATTATTTCAATAGCCACTGAGCTTTGTTTATTGGTGATGAAAATTTATAAAATAAAATAATCGAAAAGTGGAATCAATATTTTAAAATATTATTTTTATTGCATTTATGTGGATTCTTTATTTTGCTACCCGTCGAATCTAATAAATTTACTGTGAGCTAAAATTTTCAGAACTGCAAGAACTGTCCTTAATCCAATTTCAAATATCGAATGATAAGTTCAAAATAAAACAGATGCCTTGATAAGATTTTTAAGGCATGTCCGGTAATTATTCTCCGAATTTTTATCAATCTATTTATTCTCCAAATAATACACACTCAATGATGTGTCACACGATGGGAAAAGTGACTGTAATAGTGAAACGTGAATTTTTGTATTTAGGTCCTTTTGGAGTGGCAGGGCTTTGTGGATTGGTTTTCTTTAACAAAAGAGAAGCTGAAAAGAAAAATATTAAGCTTGGGGTCTTTCCAATGGCGAGTTTAATATTTGTTCCGTGTATTGCAGACACGCGTTATCAATGACGATTGATGTCAATGACTTGGGGTAAGTATGGTAACGTAAGCTGCAAAATCTCATATCTGATTAAAATGTTTTTCATTTTAGGCACATTTCATCTCGCAATACAAACAAAATAATGATTTTAATCCTGGTGAAGTCATAATTGAGGCATTACCAGAAATGTCAACAGACAAGTAAACAACAGAAAGCATTGCAGGCAGGGTGGGTGATTTAAATCAAAATCAAAATCAAAATCTTTTTGCAATGATTTTAAAAAGGGATTTTGATTTAAATCATTTTACTCAAGTGATTTTTTTCTCGATTTTGATTTAAATCATTTTTTCAAAGGGATTTTTTTTGGGATTTTGATTTAAATGATTTTTTCAAAGGTAGTTTTTTTGGGGATTTTGATTTAAATCATTTTTGTTTGGGGATTTTTTTTGGGATTTTGATTTATTTCTCTTGTATGAAAGATTTTTTTGGGATTTTAAAATGTGCCTATTCTTGCTTTTGACTCATTAAACAAACGTAGATTACTTTGGCACTGTAATAAAACACATTTAAGATTTTAAAAGCATTGAAAGCAGGTAGTTGTAAGCAGTAAGGCACAGAAGATTAATAATCACGAATTGGATTTCGTTTAACTCAAAGAGCATGGAACCATTGGTTGCTGTTACCTTTATTTAAGAAATGTTTGGATCGAAAAGATCCAGTTGCAAGATTCTGGCCGAAAAAGGATCAACTGCATCCTTACTTATTAGGAAATGCAGCTGAAAACTGTTGATCTGAAAACTAATTTGAGAAATTGCTTAAAAAAATTTTATATAGCGGGATTTTAAAATCCCAATAAAATCTTTCATACAAGAGATTTAAATCAAAATCCCAAAAAAAATTCCCTTTGAAAAAATGATTTATTATAGTAAAATGAAAATTTTTGAAACTTGGGTAAATCAAAATCCCTTTTTAAAATCATTTTTCATTGAGATTTAAATCAAAATCAAAAATAAACTCTAAGATTTTGATTTAAATCGCAAAAACTCTCCCCACCCTGATTGCAGGACTCACAGAGAAAATAAGAAATATGATGAAAGGGGCCGTTCACTTATTACGTTACGCAAAAAAACGCCCCCCCACCGAACGTTCATAATTTATTTTGTTTTGACAGCCAACAGTTATAACGTTACATACTTCTTGACACCCCCTCCCCCTATGTTACAGTTTGTTACAATTCCCCCCTCCCCTAAAATGCGAACGTAATAAGTGAACGGCCTCAAAGCAAAATTTTATAAAAACTCATTGGAAGTTTAATATCGGCAACGTTAATTCTAAAAAGCTTATCATGTTCCATTTTCGAAATTGTTCATCAAAAACTTCTTATCGCAGCAATATGTGATAAAAATATTTATTAAAGTGTATAATAATTCAGTCATTGTCGATTCTTGGACTAGAAAACGTTTTGTTACGGAATATTATTATGTTCTTAGTTATAGCTTGTCTAGTTATTCTTGCATTTGTTTGTTCTAAATTGTTTAAGGGATCAAATGTATTTAAATATTACTTTAAATACACAGTTTATTGTATTTTGTCAACAATCTGTGCTATTATATGTTTCCCGTTTTTACTTGCGAGGGCTAGGAATGTTCAAAATTTAATGTAAGGCGAAATTCTAATTAAAAAATTGCGAGAAAGTGTCAAAATTTGGATATTTTTCTGACAGAACGGCTAGCAAAGTTTTTAGACTAATCTCACCTGTATTAGGTTTGGAATTTGAATTTCGTGGAATGGAGCATCTAAAGAAGGGCTACACTTGTGTTATAGGTAATTAAACAAAATCAAAATTATTTTCAAATATTCTTAAAATTTTTGTTGGGGACCAGGGATTTAAATTATTTGTACCTTAATATTTAGAATTTGAATTAAAAATCCCTAATTGAAGAACCGAGAAATTTAAAAGAAATAAGATTTTGATAAATAGCATTGAATCTTGTATATATTCATAATTTTCCATAGTCGCAAACCACCAAAGCAGCATTGACATTTTGTGTAAGTAATTAAAACTATTTCATTTAATCTTTAATTTCACCTATATTCGTTTTTAATCTATTCTTATCAGGCATGTATGGTGAGCATTAATGTCTTATCAATATTTGATAATGTATTTTTGTAGTGCAATCAAACACTGCTTATAGAACTATGGCCAATTATGGGTAAAACAACAGTTATTGCAAGAATGCTTTTGCTATTTGCTGGCCCATTTGGACCTTGTGCATGGCTGAGTGGATTAGTTTTTATCAATAAGGATTCTCCTGACAAAGGAATTAGGAAGATAAATCATGCAATGGAAGATTTAAAAAAGAAAAATATCAAGTTGTGGATGTATCCAGAAGGTCATTAAAACAATTGATCTATGAAATTTTCCTTAAAATTTAATTATATGTTTTTAAAGGATATCGAAATCATTCAGGAAATATCGATGAATTCAAAAAAGGAGCTTTTAGAATGGCTCAGCAATCTCAAGTTCCAATCGTTCCGGTTGTCATCAGTTCCTATAATTTCTTCCTCAGACCGAAAGATAAAGTTTTCAATTCAGGAAAGATTATTATAGAAGCACTTCATGAAATTCCAACAAAAGGTCTCAAATCAACGGATGTCAATGCTTTGTTGAATAAAACGAGAAATGTCATGATTGAGAAATTCAACACATTGAATTATGAGATTAATAATGAACAACATAAGAAAAAAAAATAATTAAATTATTTGGGTGAAAAATAAAGGACTTTAAAATTATTTAAGGCAGTTATAAAGTATTATTTTTAAAATTTTTTTAATGAATTAATTACTCTGTCACAAACCATATTAGGTGTAAAACACTTCTATTATACTCTTCACTTTGCTTCTATTCCAATTATTTATTTCCAATTTTTTGACACATGCTGTATTTTCTTTTGAGATGAATAAGTAATTGCAAATATGTATCAAGTCACATTCAGAACTATTTTCCTGACTATCAATATCCATTTTTTAAAATGAACCACAACTTGAATAGGAAACAAATCAAATTGTGATAGAAATATGAAAAACTAAATTTAATGTGCTTTCCGATGTTCAAAAAAATAAATGGTATGACTGTTATGTGGCAGTCTGCTGTATGAACGAAAGTTATGAATATTTTTTGCAAATTTTAAATTCTTGAAATGAACTTGTTGCATACTAGCATTATTGATTAATGTCATATTTTCAGCAAATTGTGATGCTCAAAAATGAATAAAGACATATAAATATAGATGAATGTAGACATTGAGTGGAATAATAAAGCTGAATTTTAAAAATATCTTCTGGGTAATTTTAATTGAATGACCGTAGTGTCAATCACACGCATATATTCAGATTGACACAGAATTTTTCGAGGTCATTAACTTTTAACATTTGAGTTTTGATATTAAGGGTGTACAAAACAATAAATTTTCTCGAAAGTTCGGAAATGATTGCTGCTCGAGAATTACTATTTGGGATAGTCAAGCGACAAATATAATACTTACCACTTTATTTAGTAATCAATGCATTATGGGCCAGAAATGGAAATTTTTTCCAAAAATTATTTCTACAGCTTATATGATAGTCCTTATTTTGCCCTACATTTACGTCTTTAAAACTTTGCCCAAGTCGACAGCATGTCCGAGATATGGCACTTCAAAGTTGGTCAGACGACCATTTTCACGTTACATTGAAAATGCTCTCACCAGATACTGGATGGATGAATCTCCTTCAAACTTTTTTGTTAATAGCTTTAAATAGGTTCTTCATTTTAAGATATAAACAATTGCAAATAACTTTGAAAAATTTTGTGAAAAACTTGATTTTTCTCAAAAACCACGTGTTCGTCATTCTTTCGTTTGTCTAGCTCTTCACAAGCACAATTAAAATTACTAATTTCTTTTTTATATTAAAGATTACACCAAAAGCATTTCCTTTTGTATGCATGTCATATAATTTTAACAAAGTTTTGGTAGTGAAAAAAGTTTTTTTATATAAAAAACACCAATTTTTTGACAAAAATCGCTGTAGTGCTTACCCATGGTATTGGAATTTTATTTCACATTTAGAAAGCTCTCTGAATATGCTATCCACTATTAATTAATGCAGTAAAATGAACAAGTGTTCTCTTGGCAAAGAGCACTTTTTTGACTCTGAAAGTCGTATGTCGAGCAAGTTCAAAAAAGAAAAATAATCATAAAAATTTCAGTTTTAAATAAAATTTAATTTTTTTAAATTAGATTGATAGATCTTTTTAAAACGCGTCTTTTGAGTATAAATATGTCATAGTTTTGTCAAGTATCATGATCATTTTTTTTAAAAAAATAGTTTTTTCCAAAAAAGTATTTGACTTTAGAATTTCATAAAATGCATTCTTTTTATCATTTTTTTGTGGGCGTGAAGTACGGCCGAGACCCATATCGACACAGTTCAAAAGTTATACCTAATTTATGTCATAATTATGTCAGCAACAAAAACAATTAGTTTGAATTTTGTCACCCTCGGGAACACTATGAATCAGTATAGCTGATTTTGGTCCAAATCTCGGCCATACTTCACACTTATTTGAACCACATTTTCTCGTAAATGTTAAAATATTATTAAAAAGTAATTAATCCTGAATTATGTCGCTATTTTGTCAAGTGTTTTAAGATAAAGAATTTGTTTTTTGGTTTCCACAGTGAAGAGTATGAACAAAATTCAGATGGGGTAGTCGAAATTTTAGATTTCGAATTTTTTTAAGCTATGCATTACAAAAAGTAATATTGGTATGTGATTTATGTCAGAATTATGTCAATTCAAATAAAATATCCAAAAAATTTTTTTGACCAAAGTACAACATAGAAAATCAATTTTTAATTTTGGACTAGGGGCGACCCTAGTCAAAATCAATTTTGTCACTTTTTTCTTCGAGGGTTTATCCAAATGGATTAAAACTTTGCATAAATATTCAAGTGCTTAAAACAAAAACAAATAAAACATCCTAAAATTTTTTTGAGCAAAGAATCAAGTAGGAAATACATTTTCAATTTTGGACTAGGGGCGACCCTAGTCAAAATCAATTTTGTCACTTTTTTCTTCGAGGGTTTATCCAAATGGATTGAAACTTTGCATAAATATTCTTGTGCTTAAACAAAATACAAATAAAACATCTAAAATTTTTTTGAGCAAAGAACCAAGTAGGAAATACATTTTCAATTTTGGACTAGGGGCGACCCTAGTCAAAATCAATTTTGTCACTTTTTTCTTTGAGGGTTTATCCAAATGGATTGAAACTTTGCATAAATATTCTAGTGCTTAAAACTAATACAAATAAAACATCTTAAAATTTTTTTGAGCAAAGAACCAAGTAGGAAATCAATTTTTAATTTTGGACTAGGGGCGACCCTAGTCAAAATCAATTTTGTCATTTTTTTCTTTGAGGGTTTATCCAAATGGATTGAAACTTTGCGTAAATATTTTAGTGCTTAAAACAAATACAAATAAAACATCCTAAAATTTTTTTGAGCAAAGAACCAAGTAGGAAATACATTTTAAATTTTGGACTAGGGGCGACCCTAGTCAAAATCAATTTTGTCACTTTTTTCTTCGAGAGTTTATCCAAATGGATTGAAACTTTGCATAAATATTTTAATGCTTAAAAAAAATACAAGTAAAACATTCAAAATTGTTTTGAGCGAAGAACTAAGTTGGAAATACATTTTCAATTTTGGACTAGGGGCGACCCTAGTCAAAATCAATTTTGTCACTTTTTTCTTTGAGGGTTTATCCAAATGGATTGAAACTTTGCATAAATATTCTTGTGCTTAAACAAAATACAAATAAAACATCTAAAATTTTTTTTGAGCAAAGAACCAAGTAGGAAATACATTTTCAATTTTGGACTAGGGGCGACCCTAGTCAAAATCAATTTTGTCACTTTTTTCTTCGAGAGTTTATCCAAATGGATTGAAACTTTGCATAAATATTTGAGTGCTTAAAAAAAATACAAGTAAAACATCTAAAATTTTTTTGAGCAAAGAACCAAGTAGGAAATACATTTTCAATTTTGGACTAGGGGCGACCCTAGTCAAAATCAATTTTGTCACTTTTTTCTTCGAGGGTTTATCCAAATGGATTGAAACTTTGCATAAATATTCTGGTGCTTAAAACAAAAACAAATAAAACATCTTAAAATTTTTTTGAGCAAAGAATCAAGTAGGAAATACATCTTCAATTTTGGACTAGGGGCGACCCTAGTCAAAATCAATTTTGTCACTTTTTTCTTCGAGGGTTTATCCAAATGGATTGAAACTTTGCATAAATATTCTAGTGCTTAAAACTAATACAAATAAAACATCTTAAAATTTTTTTTTGAGCAAAGAACCAAGTAGGAAATACATTTTCAATTTTGGACTAGGGGCGACCCAAATGGATTGAAACTTTGCATAAATATTTAAGTGCTTAAAACAAATACAAGTAAAACATCCAAAATTTTTTTGACTAAAGTACAACATAGAAAATCAATTTTTAATTTTGGACTAGGGGCGACCCTAGTCAAAATCAATTTTGTCACTTTTTTCTTTGAGGGTTTATCCAAATGGATTGAAACTTTGCATATTTAGTGCATTTAAGCACTAAAATATTTGTGCAAAGTTTCAATCCTTTTGTGTAAACCCTAGAAGAAAAAATGGACAAAATTGATTTTGACTAGGGTCGCCCCTAGTCCAAAATTAAAAATTGATTTTCTATGTTGTACTTTGGTCAAAAAAAATTTTTGGATGTTTTATTTGAATTGACATAATTCTGACATAAATCACATACCAATATTACTTTTTGTAATGCATAGCTTAAAAAAATTCGAAATCTAAAATTTCGACTACCCCATCTGAATTTTGTTCATACTCTTCACTGTGGAAACCAAAAAACAAATTCTTTATCTTAAAACACTTGACAAAATAGCGACATAATTCAGGATTAATTACTTTTTAATAATATTTTAACATTTACGAGAAAATGTGGTTCAAATAAGTGTGAAGTATGGCCGAGATTTGGACCAAAATCAGCTATACTGGTTCATAGTGTTCCCGAGGGTGACAAAATTCAAACTAATTGTTTTTGTTGCTGACATAATTATGACATAAATTAGGTATAACTTTTGAACTGTGTCGATATGGGTCTCGGCCGTACTTCACGCCCACAAAAAAATGATAAAAAGAATGCATTTTATGAAATTCTAAAGTCAAATACTTTTTTGGAAAAAACTATTTTTTTAAAAAAAATGATCATGATACTTGACAAAACTATGACATATTTATACTCAAAAGACGCGTTTTAAAAAGATCTATCAATCTAATTTAAAAAAATTAAATTTTATTTAAAACTGAAATTTTTATGATTATTTTTCTTTTTTGAACTTGCTCGACATACGACTTTCAGAGTCAAAAAAGTGCTCTTTGCCAAGAGAACACTTGTTCATTTTACTGCATTAATTAATAGTGGATAGCATATTCAGAGAGCTTTCTAAATGTGAAATAAAATTCCAATACCATGGGTTCCCTGAAGCACTACAGCGATTTTTGTCAAAAAATTGGTGTTTTTTATATAAAAAAACTTTTTTCACTACCAAAACTTTGTTAAAATTATATGACATGCATACAAAAGGAAATGCTTTTGGTGTAATCTTTAATATAAAAAAGAAATTAGTAATTTTAATTGTGCTTGTGAAGAGCTAGACAAACGAAA